CCGCTGGGGTCATTCCCAGTCAGGTTGTGTTCACTCGGGGTGTCGCTTGCCACCGTGGCTGTAAGGGAGAGGGGGCTTCTAGTGTGAGGAAATTCCTTGCCGTCTTCCCGTTGGCCTTCCTCCTTCCCGAATGTTCCTGAGCTGTGTGCTCTTTCTTCTGTCCCCGTAGTGATTTTGAGCCCTTCCCAGCCCCTTGTAGTTTCCCTGTCCTCCCCTGTCCTGGGAACCCTCCTGTGCAAAGAACGAGGGAGCATTACAGACAGGAGGAGGTCCGCTTGCAGGGAAGTGATGTAACAAGCCCCACTTAAGGACGGCTGGGCTGGACTGGCGTTGGCATCGTTTTCTCCCCCCTCGTTGCTAACGTGAAATTGGAACATTTTACATTTGAAAAAATGTGCTTTAGTGATACTTTGATTTTATGCCTCTACCATATACCAGTATGGATGCAAAACTGATATTATGAATGACAATTGATGGCTCTAAATTAAAAGGAGGGTATGAGTTACCGTTTTGAATTTCTCTCCTGGGAGTCTGAACTCTTGGATTCCCTGTGATCGCATCCACATTCCACTGTTTCTTGACCTTGGATGAGAACACGCCTTTGTTGTGCCTGTTCCTCCTCCAATTAGGTGGGGTTCCCTACCCAACCCCACCTTGTCGGTAGAGTGCCTTCCCTTCTTACACAGATGTGAGGGCACTTAGAGCTGCCGTGCCCTTTAGATAGTTGTTACACATTTTAAAATAACCAAAAAATCAAAATGCTGAATCCTTAAATCTAGACAAGGGTTTACTTGCTTTATTATTTCAGGGTTCCTATAAATACTGAGCTCCCATAAGAGTTTGAGTTGAATTTTGAAACTTCTTTACACAATTCTGCTTATTCACAGCTATAAATCAAAATACACCTGAAGCTAAACCATAGCATTCGATGCAGTTGCTGCTAATACGGCTTTATAACTGTTCTGTAAATATTCCGCCTCAGGGAGTAATAATACTTTCTGTTTT